AGTTGGGGGGGCTCTTTTTTTTTTTTTTTTTTTTTTTTTTTACTACCTGTTCCTGGCTTTGTTTTATTTCCAGGATGGTCATGGCACAATGCACGCACGCACGCACACACATATAATATATGAAAACCTACACAATCTTTCTTACATTTTTAAGTTTTGTTGTACCTAAATTATAAGATACATTATGTAAATGTTCTTTGGGGATTTGGCCAGTTCCCAACATATAGATACTATCTCTGATCATTTTAGAACAATATTGCTAACTATAATTTCTGATCCTTCTTTAGTCCCCGGTCACACCTAGGTGTTTTGTCGCTCAAAAAGAAGTGGGGCAAAATGCTCAAGACAAGAGATCCCATTAATTTCTATGGCCCCTGTTCACACCTGAGCGCAAGTACTTAAACTAGTTTTTGGCAGATTTATAGCTCTTTTTGGTCCCATAGACTTTAATGGGAAACTTTGTGTCACAAAACGCTGAGGTGTGAACAGGGGCCATAGAGATGAATAGGATTCCTTGTCTTGAGGATTTTGTTGTGCTTTGCTTTGAATGACAAAACACCTAGGTGTGAAAGCCTTAGACTAGAATGACTACTAACTTAAAACTGTACATGATCAAATCTATTGTTTTTGCTCCTGCAAGTTTTAGCATCTCTGATTTTGTTCTGTTCATCAGAGATATGTCACATGCTTTTCATACCATGTGTTTACTTCAAGGTGTTTGAAGCGGTTATTGCTTGGGTAAACCACGACAAGGATGTACGTCAGGAGCACATGGCACATCTGATGGAACATGTCCGTCTTCCATTACTGTCCAGGGACTATTTAGTACAGGTAAGACCAAACAGATTCACCATATATTGAGACTGAATGGCTTTTCGAAGGTGAGGTATATTGCCATAGCCAGTAGGCTTTTTTAGTGTTAATTGCAGATCAGGTTGGGTTAGTTTGTTAATATTTCAACACCAGTTGGATTTGAACTGCACAGTGCTGGCGGGAAACCAGAAAACTTGAGCAGTAGATCAGGTCTTCAGGTTCCTTTACCGCTAGGTGCAGCCTACTTCAGGAGATCACTTTGAAACAAGCTTCAACATGGAGCTGCACAAAACATTGGTCAACATCCTCACTGCACAGGACCCCACCTGGAAGGATGTTATTTAACAGCAGGCGTTAAATGTAAATCTAAGAGCAGAAATGTATGATATTGCACCTTAGGTAGTTCCTAGATGTGGTGTTTTATATCAGTGCTTTCCATTGATTACCACCCGGTGATTCAGCCAGTAGCACACTTTCTATCCTAGTGGAATCAGGAGATGCACTCTGAGAAGTGTCAGTTTTTTAAGAGACTTTAAGCTGTGATTTCTTTATAGTAGATAGGTGTTTAGGGTGCGGAAGAAATAAGTATTTACATTCTTCTTTGCAGGGTGCTCTTTTATTCAATGTTTCAGTTTTGGAACAGTAATTTCTAAGATTTAAAATGTTTCATGTTTAAGTTGTCTGTTTTTAAAGGAGAAATTGAGCAGAATAAAACTGCCCAGTAGTATGTCCCTCAGCGTCCTCACATCTAATACACTGTAATAGATGTGATGAATCGGGGATCCTTACACCCCCAGAGCAGAGAGAGGCCGCAGGGAGCTGTGTAGCAGCCAGGTGGGACTGAGATTTGGGTTAGCATA